ATTTCATTTTTCAGGGCTTGAATTCCTCCGTTGTTGATAAGCAATTTTTGGGATACGTGTATCCTGAGTGGATTGCCAGGATACAGCCATTAAATCATATATATTTTAATAAATCTTTGATAGTGGTTAGTGGTGGAATATGGGACCCACGTTCAGGTATACCCAAATGACGAGTCATAAATGGAATCAAACTGCACTCCACTGTTAGCCAACAAGAAACTTTGCCCATAATTTAACAATAAGTATGAAATAATATCCTATTGTCCTAGCTGCAAAAAATAACCCTTTAGGTATATTAGTAAAAATGTGTAGTTTCAAATAATGTCAAAATTAAAGGTATTATTCATCTCTTTCATGAGTGATGTATATTCCTGTGTTAACAAGTAAAAGGCATTATGGGTAGTTTAAGACAACTTTCCACTTTTAACAGTCATAGTTCCTACGTTGGAGTCATAAAAATATTGTTGCTGAGGGTTAATATTCATTATACATCTGTCAAAAACAAATTGTATTTTTTTCATACTCATGAATGATTGCAATCATGATGGCTGTACTGACTTTAGTTAAAGATTAGCCAAAAGGTGTTGATATTTAGCTCTTTGGACCATTGAGAAATTACCTGTTGAAAAATCCTTGTTGCATAAACATTTTTCATAAGCGAGTTGTTACATAACCCGCCTGTAGCTCCTCTAGGGCTACAGCCGGTCCCGAACCCGTACAAAGGAGGACGGTTGGGCATAGGGTCAGCAACCCCATCCCGTAGAAAACATCCTTGTTAAAAAACGCCAATCAGAATAAACAAATTAAACCATTTATACTCTGCCCTGGGACTTGAAGGGATAATTATGACACCTCATGATGAAAGCCGAGATTTTTCGAAAGTCACGAGGCCGATGCTTCTTCTAACAACCGGAGCAACAATTAATATAGGTACATGGAACGTCCGGATAATGTAGGATACCAGAAGGACCAGCCAAATAGCAACCGAAATGAGGAGATTTAACTTGGTGGTTCTCGAAATCAGCGATACCCATTGGACCCGAGCTGGACAACAAAAATCAGGTACGGAGAGATGTTGCTGTACTCCGGTCACGTAGAGCAAAATTCTTTATACACTCAGGGAGTTGCTCTGACGCTTTCCAAAAGTGCACGTAAAGCACTCATAGGATTGAAATCTCATGGACCCAGGATCATCAAAGCACCTCTCAAATCTAAAAAGGAGGGGATCACAATTTATGCTATCCAGTGTTATGCACCCAACAATGATAGCAATGACGACTATAAAGATCAGTTCTACGAGAGGCTGCAATCGATCATAGCGAAGTGCCCAGAAGAGAACCTGACAATCCTGATGGGAGACTTAAACGACAAATTCGGAATGGACAACAACGGTTATGAAGATATCATGGGACGACATGGACTGACTGGGAGAAACAAACGAGAATGGAGATTTGCAAATTTATGTGCATTCAACAAATTGGTCACAGGTGAGACAATATTCCCCCATAAACACATACACAAAGCTATAAAGCTACACGGAGAACCAGATAGATCATATTTGTATCAGTAAAAAATTCATAAGGCCAATAGAAGACGTGGGAACCAGGAAAGGAGCTGGCAAAGCTTTTAATCACTACCAACTGGTGGTTGCCAAGATGAAACTGAAGCTAAAGAAGCACTGGGCAACTGGGGAAACAGCATTACAATGGTTTAATAGAGCCTTCCTCCGACATACTGACAAATTCAACGAATTCAAGATAGATCTCAACAACAAGTTTTAGGCCTTACAAAATCTAATGAGAGAAGGAAAAACTACTATGGAGGAAAACAGGAAAGGGATCAAAGAAGCATTAACTTCAACGTGTCAGGAGGTTCTGGGCCGCAACAAGTTTCATCATAAGGAATAGATCTCTATCGAAACCCTAGACAATATTCAAGAAAGGAAGGACAAGAGGACAGTAATTAACAACAGCCAAACAAGAACAGAGGATATCAAGGCACAAGCTGAATTCACAGAAGCACTAGAGCCGACAAGCGGAAATACGTGGAAAAGACAGAGAAAAAAACTGCAAGGGAAGGAAATACGAAACAATTATATGACACAGCGAAGAAACTGAAAGGGAAATATAGTAAACCGGTTAAGGAAAAGAAGGCAAGTCAGTCAATGAGGTTCAAGAACAGAGGAACAGGTGGGTGTAGCACCTAGAAGAACTCTCAAATAGACCAGCTAACTTGATTCCACCAGACATTAAATCAACACACACAGTCCTTCGTATAGATGTCACTCCACCAACTATCGAAGAAATTAGGATGGCCATCAGACAAACTAAGAGTGGAAAAGTAGCAGGATCTGACAGAATACCAGATGAAGCACTGAAGTCAGACATAGAATCAACTGAAAACATGCTCCACATTCTATTCAGGAGGATTTGGGAAGAAGGAGAAGTGCCAACGGACTGTAAAGAGGGATATTTCATCAAGATGCCAAAGAAAAGCGATCTGAGCAAATGTGGAAACTACAGGGCCATCACACTACTATCGGTACCATGAAGAATTTCCAACAGTGTTGCTGAACTGGATGAAGGATTCGGTAGACACCCAACTTCGGGGTCAACAGACCAGATTCCGTAAGGATCGATCGTGCACAGACCAATTCGCGAAAATAAGGACCACCGTTGAACAATCAGTCGAGCGGAACTCGTCACTATGCATCAACTTCCTTGATTATGAGAAGGCGTTTGACAGTGTGGATAGGAGAACTTTATGGGCCCTTTTTTGACACTGTGGTGTACCTGAAAAATATAATACAGCGAGTACCAGCCAAACTACAATTGATGGAGATGCTCTGGAAGATGTGGAAACTTTTAACATACCTGGGAGCGTTATTGATAAACAAGGGGGATCTGATACAGATATGAAAGCATGGATTCGCAAGGCAAGCGGAGCATTCCTACGACTAAAGAACACATGGAACTCTAAACAACTGTCAACCAATATCAAAATGATAATCTTCAATACGAACGTCAAAAAACTTCCACTGTATGGAGCTGAAATTCGGAGAACTATCACAACCACCATCAAAAGGTACAAGTATTTATAAATAATTGTCTACATCAGTCAGCCAGCTACAAGGTAGAACCAGGCACATATATACATCGATCGAAGTTGCCATACCTCATTAGCACAACAAGATGAACACCGAATTCATAGTAGTTAATTCAATGGTGGTAATGTATAAGACAAAGATTGCATATAAGGATATAGTACAGGAAGAAATAATTAGTTGGTAAAAAGAAAGATATGAAGCGATTTTAATCTCATAGTTTAAGGGATGAAAGAGAGTGTATACATAGATTCTGAGCCATGTCACCCAAAGTCTCCAACGATATTCAAGCCCGACCACCACGTCAAGATAGCAACAACGGTCAGGAATCGCCTACGTAAGGTACTCAATATCCGTTGGCCAGTTATCATCAGCAACAGTCTACTGTGGGAGAGAACAAACTAACTTCCAGCTTAGGAAGAAATTAGGAAAAGACATTGAAAGTGGATAGGATACACATTGAAGAAAGCATCAAACTACGTCACGAGGCAAGCCCTGGAGGGAAACGAAAAAGTAGAAGGCCGAAGAACACATTGTGTGGCGAATTGAAAGCAGACATGAAAAAGATTAATAGCAACTGAAAAGGAGTGCCCAGGACAGAGTTGGATGGAGAATACTGGTAAGCGGCCTATGGTCCTCCATGAAGGGTAACAGACGTAAGTAACGAGTTTTTACCATTCAACTGAACATCAGAATTGTTTTTTCCAGTAGGGTGATACATAAGATAGTGATGGAGTTGTTTATTTCAAAATAGATTACTAGATGGGTGGGAATTCGTAGGTACATCAACTTTACAACATTGTTTATAATAAGATTTATCGACTTTATTTTGTAACTGAATTATTACATCTTTACATTTCTTATTAATTCAACGTTTCATTAAACGGAAAAGGATGAGAATAGGTGACAGGGACTTTTTCTAAAAAATCAATTGATTCATGATTTTAGTAAAATGATGAAACTCAGGAAATGTTTTAAATGCTACAGCGATATCGAGAACACTACTGAAGAACAGAAACACAATATTCTAGGTCAATACTAAACTTTCATATTATGAATTATACTTCGAAAATTAACAACCACTACATATAAAATGTATTGAAGTTTATTTCTAGACATATTCGTCAAGCACCAATGCTCATAGTTATAATTAAAAAACTTTTGGTTCTTACAAAAAAGATGTCATTAAACCTCTGCTGAATACGGAATGGCACATTTTATTTCAGTTATCATAACATACGGGTTAACTTAAGAAGTCATAAATGCAGTTAAAAAGTGTTAAATGTGAGAGTTTTTACCATGACAAGTGGAAATTAGAATAAAGTTCACAACCGGACAGTTATATGTTCGATTACAAACGTTTATAATATGGCCTTTGTAAGTTCTTCTAACCTAGGATTGACATCATTCAAGTTTTATTTGGTACTTGATCAACTACTATTAGATTTTGTAGAAAAGATGCTGTATCCCTTACTATAAGAATGTCAACTACAGAAAATCGATGTATATTAATTCTCCTATTCACATTAGGCGTAAGAAAATTTGTTTATTATTCAATAAATAAACGAAAACTAAAACAAATTTTAGAGATAGGAAGTTCAAAAAGAATATTACATATCTTTAAATTTCATCTAAAAATTAGATTGTGTCTGAACAAAAGACATCCTGTTTGTTCATAGATAATGGATAAACTTATTTAAGATCGCATTTAATGGTATATTTGTAGGTATACGATAATAATGTTCGAATAAATGAAAAGTTTCTCTTTTAAACTGCACTGAATTTTTCATATTTTAACCATTTTAACAATTTTTGTTTACCATAAAATGTAAATTTAAAGGGAAAAGAAAATTTCATTTAACTTCCAAACAGCTGCTTTTCTGTAATAACTACTCACCTAAATGTTTTATCCTGTAAAACATTGATTGGTCCATTTTAGCACGTTGCATTCGCATGTGATTAGACTCCTTTTTGCGAAGTAAACAGCGCATTTGAACACGAGCATTTTCATCTAAACCAACTTTGGACATTTCGGATTCAAGACGATCACGTCTTTCCTTACGTTCGCGGTGTATTCTACCAATATCTGCCATTCTTTGTTCCATAAACCGTCGATAAACAGCTGGATTAACTGGTTTTACTATTCGAAATGTATGCTGTTCATGGGATGAATCCATAGATTCTTTTGTTACTTCAGGTTCTTGGACTTGTGTTGATAGTTTCGTTGAAGGATATGTCGGTTTTTCCGTATTACCATCATTATCAAGTTTTATAGGGATAACAGGTTCCATTGAATTTGAGAAATAAGTTTTTATTGGTTGATTTACAAACGGACTAGCCGATCGACTACAAAAATCATCTGTTCCAATTTCATCTTGTTGCTTTTGTTCTGTAGGGGTATTCATGTGTGGTGTGCTAAATTTTTCAACCTAAAAATGGGAAATTTAAAAGTTAGACTGGGGCGACATCCAAAATCTGATTTTAATGTTCTCTAATGTGTAGAAAGCAGTAACACTGTCTTTTTCATGGTCTAGACCTATTTAAATTTATCAGTGCAAATTTTCCGTCTATAATCTATGATTGCCATAAAAATGGAGTGCAATGAAATCGCTGAAAACAGATACTATTATCCATCTGAACAATACTATATTCTAGTGGAAATTTTACTGGAAGTATTATTATTTCTCTTTAAGACTAAAGGGATTTACAACCAAATGATTATTTTAAAGAGAGCAAGAACAAAGATTGGTACAGAATAATATGAATTCATTTTATTTCGTTAGGTTCTCATCAGCTGCTTACAACCTAAAATATTTAAAATTCAACATTATTACAGATATTGACATACTTACACATAAGAGGGCGAATAAGGACGAATAAATGCATCATGGTGTAGCGAAGATTCCGATAGAGTTAATGAGGTCATTATATTTTGTCTCGAATAAATAGAGTTTGAGAGGGAAAGTTAATGCTTCGGCAACCTCTTGAAATTTGCCGAAGCATTAGCAATCAAACGTCTAAAACCAGATCTACGTATACAAAAAGAGACAGTAATAAATCTTTCTTTACCCTGGTAACAATAAACCTCCTTTTTTCATTTCTCTATTTATTTATTTAGTCATTACTCCAACTCTTTTAAATTACATCATACATAACTGATTGATTTCAATTCATATTTTCTTCATTACCATTAATCTATTTTCATGAGTTCTAATCACTATTTCAACTCCGCCTGGAATCCCTCCGGGGGCTACGGCCGGTCCCAAGCCCGGATAAAGGAGGAGGGTTGGGCATGGGGTTAGCGTCCCCATCCCGTAGAAAACTAACTCGCTAAAAAAACGCTAACCAGAAAAAGTTATTCAAACTTTTTAAACTCTGCCCTGGGAGTCAGAAGGTCTTCATTTAGAAGAATTATGACGCCTCATGATGAAAGCCGAATTCCTTCGGAAGTTACGAGGCCGATGCCCCTTCTGACAACCAGAGCGACCATTTATTTAGGTACATGGAATGTTCGTACAATGTGGGACACCGGAAGAGCCTTCCAAATTGCTGCAGAAATGAGAAGATACAACATAGAGGTACTTGGGATCAGTGAAACACATTGGACACAAGTTGGACAACAACGACTAACTACAGGAGAGCTCCTGTTATACTCCGGCCATGAAGAAGAAAATGCACCACATACACAAGGAGTTGCATCGATGCTGTCCAAACAAGCGCAAAATGCGCTTATAGGATGGGAATCTCATGGACCAAGGATCATCAAAGCTGATATAGCATCAGATCATCACTTACTGGTCGCCAAGATGAAATTGAAACTCAAGAAGCACTGGACAACGGGGCGGACAATATCACAAAAGTTCAATACGGCCTTTCTTCAGGATACTAACAAACTCAACGAATTCAAGATAGTCCTCAGCAACAAGTTCCAGGCGTTTCATGATCTACTCAATGGAGAAGGAACTACTGTGGAGAGCAACTGGAAGGGGATCAAAGAGGCAATCACTTCAACATGTCATGAGGTCCTGGGTCACAAGAAGCACCACCACAAGGAATGGATCACTGTTGATACACTGGATAAGATTCAAGAAAGGAAGAACAAGAAAGCAGCAATCAATACCAGCCGAACAAGAGCAGAAAAAGCCAAGGCACAAGCTGAATACACAGAAGTAAACAAACAAGTGAAGAGGAACATCAGAACCGACAAACGTAAATATATGGAAGATTTAGCAACGACGGCGGAAAAGGCTGCAAGAGAAGGAAACATGAGACAATTGTATGACACGACAAAGAAACTCTCTGGAAATCGCCGCAAACCAGAACGACCAATGAAAAGCAAGGAAGGCAAGGTAATCACCAACATTGAAGAGCAACAAAACAGGTGGGTAGAACACTTCAAAGAACTGTTGAATCGACCAGCTCCACTGAACCCACCCAACATCGAAGCAGCACCCACGGACCTCCCAATCAATGTTGGCCCACCAACAATTGAAGAAATCAGCATGACTATCAGACAAATGAAGAGTGGCAAAGCAGCAGGACCGGACAACATCCCAGCAGAGGCACTAAAAGCAGACGTGGCGGCAACTGCAAGGATACTCCACATTCTCTTCAATAAGATTTGGGATAAGGAACAAGTACCAAAAGACTGGAAAGAAGGACTTCTAATCAAAATACCGAAGAAAGGCGATCTCAGCAAGTGTGATAACTACAGGGGCATCACTCTTCTCTCAATACCGGGAAAAGTCTTCAACAGGGTATTGTTAAACAGGATGAAGGACTGCGTAGACGCCCAACTTCGTGATCAACAGGCAGGATTTCGTAAGGATAGATCGTGTACAGACCAAATCGCAACTCTACGGATCATTGTGGGACAATCAGTTGAATGAAATTCATCACTCTACATCAACTTCATCGACTACGAAAAGGCATTTGACAGCGTGGACAGAACAACACTATGGAAACTTCTTCGACACTACGGCGTGCCTCAGAAGATAGTCAATATCATACAGAACTCATATGATGGATTACACTGCAAAATTGTGCATGGAGGACAGTTGACAAAGTCGTTCGAAGTGAAGACCGGTGTTAGGCAAGGTTGCTTACTCTCACCCTTTCTCTTTCTCCTGGTGATCGACTGGATCATGAAGACGTCAACATCTGAAGGGAAGCGCGGGATACAATGGACATCTAAGATGCAATTGGATGATCTAGACTTCGCAGACGATCTGGCCCTTCTATCCCAAACGCAACAACAGATGCAGGAGAAAACGAACAGTGGCAGCAGCCTCAGCAGCAATAGGTCTCAATATACACAAAGGGAAAAGCAGGATTCTCCGATACAACACGGAATGCACCAATCCAATCACAATTGACGGAGAAGATTTGGAACATGTAAAAACCTTTACATATTTGGGCAGCATCATTGATGAACAGGGTGGATCTGATGCAGATGTGAAGGCGCGTATCGGCAAAGCAAGAGTAGCATATTTACAACTAAAGAACATCCGAAGCTCAAAGCAACTGTCAACCAACACCAAGGTCAGGATTTTCATTTCAAATGTCAAGACAGTTCTACTGTATGGGGCAGAAACCTGGAGAACTACAAAAGCCATCATCCAGAAAATACAGGTGTTTATTAACAGTTGTCTACGCAAAATACTTCAGATCCATTGGCCGGACACTATTAGTAACAACGTACTGTGGGAGAGAACAAACCAGATCTCAGTGGAGGAAGAAATCAGGAAGAAGCGCTGGAAGTGGATAGGACACACATTGAGGAAAGCACCCAACTGTGTCACAAGACAAGCCCTCACATGGAATCCTGAAGGTCAAAGGAAAAGAGGAAGACCAAAGAACACATTACGCCGAGAAATGGAGATAGACATGAGAAAAATGAATAAGAATTGGATGGAACTAGAAAAGAAGGCCCAGGACAGAGTGGGTTGGAGAATGCTGGTCAGCGGCCTATGCTCCATCGGGAGTAACAGGCGTAAGTAAGTAAGTAAGTAATCACTATTTCAATGTTCCGGAACTTTCCCTCTCAAACTCTATTTATTCGAGACAAAATGTTATGACCTCATTAACTCTATCGAAATCTTCGCTACACCATGATACATTTATTCGTCCTTATTCGCCCTCTTATGTGTAAGTATGTCAATATCTGTAATAATGTTGAATTTTAAATATTTTAGGTTGTAAGCAGCTGATGAGAACCTAACGAAATAAAATGAATTCATATTATTCTGTACCAATCTTTGTTCTTACTCTCGTTAAGATAATAAAGGGAACTATGTGTATCAAATGATCATTATTTATCAACTCACGACATAAAAAGAAAAACGTTTCCTTTTTCAAGCCAATTTAAACAAAAATTATATTACTCAGATAATTTCTCTTAGATCTAAATGAACGATAGTTAGGGAAGGCATCTAATTCACAAATTGAGATATTATATTATAAAGCTTTCAATGCGTCTTTATTTGTAAATTAAACAAATGCTCATGTAAGAATTAGCATGGTGATTGATTTAGTTGTTGTTATTCATCTCTCATCCTCATTTTCACTATTTAGCTTTCATATGTCCTTTGGATATTTATGATACGAATGTTGAAAGTTTCCCGCATAAAGCAGGTTGCATCAATAAATATCAAACCACATATTGATATACTAAGACATTCAAATAGAGTACAAGTATGCATGGTAATATCCCAATTTCGATCATTAAAATAAATCCACAGAACACTCACAAATGTTTTGTAACAACTCGCCTTTTTAAATTTGATACTAATCATGTTGCTTAGAATGATAATGAAAGCCATACGACTGAACCATTCAAGTCACAGAAGGCGATGACATTACATGAATATACGTATATCATACATCATAATTCTTTATAATAATATCGGGATCTATGCATATTTATTACACTTAGTGAACCTGAAACATACCATAGACTTTTTTAATTAACGATATGGCCAGTGTAAAAATTAGCAAACAAAGAACCATTAGTTATGTACAATGACTGAATTTTCTTTACGCTTATCTATCATAATGGTAAACCTACTTTTTCAGGGGCTAGAGATTTTTTGGATATCATGAAATTGCAGTTGTTCGATGTCACCATACGAGGAGGTAGTTTTGGAGGGGTATCTGACGGTGAGTTTATGTCGTTTGCTATACATAATACTGATTGTAAGTTATCATCTGAAGTTTGAACACGAGAATCTGTAGTATTGACTTTATTTGATTCCTCCGAGATACTCAATACAAGAGAAGAGCTTATCGTGGCTACGGGGCTTGCTGCGTTTTTGTTTGAATTACTTGTTGTCCGATAATTCTGTCGATTTACAGTTGTGTTTAGTGATTGAGGTCTGCTGCAACAAGTTGATAAAAAGAACTATAAAAGATTAGAAACTTGTAATATATATGAGACGTTTAGGGCTTCTTCGTGAAGTTATGAAGAAAACATTATTGTTTTTACAGGATACATTAAAGTTGAGATTTAGCTACAGCGCTACTATTATTCACGTATTATTTGCTTATATGCAGTGTTGTCCAAATGATCATCTATATAGGTACATGCCTACTAAATGAGATTTCTCCTTTTTCCCAATAAGTTCATCATTGTATTATAGAACGCCGTCACATCTTACTTTTCCTATGAATTAATTTGAAAAGCTATGGCGGTATTTCAGTATTTACTACAGAATACCAACAATTCTGTAAACCTTAAACTCTGAAACTAAGATTCATCCTATGAGAGCGAGATTCATTGTACCCTGGTAATATTATACGTATTTTTTAGTTATATTCTAATGAGTAGAAAAGTTGTATTTCTGACGTTTCATGACTTAATGTAACCAGTTCTACCCTGAAGAAGTGGCTTACACTAAGTCACGAAACACTAGAAATACAATTTTTTGGCTCATTAGGATATAACAACAAAATATATTTATTATTAACTTTCTGCCCAATGCTCAATTTATTTGAAACTATCATGGCCAACCTTGGTATTAATACCTATAAGTCTAATATTTAGTTGCTAACTATCCTTACGACGTTCGAATATACTTATCAAAAGCAAAATAGAGTAGACTTATATGCTCCATTGCTTTGTGACTGCAGCCTATTCAGTAAACTCGGCCTAACAAAAAATAATAATAAGATATTTCCAGTGTATTCCACACATTAGCTTTTTATACAGATCGGACCAACGGTCAGTATGATTCAAAGTTTGTAGTAAGAATGATATAAATGGGTAAAAACAATTCACTAAATACAGTCATGAAATTTTGGGAACGACCGTGTTTGATCTGCTTTTTAAGTTGAATGAAGTTAAGGTCATACCACTTGTATAAAAAAAATTCACGAATAATTAAAAGCCATTAACAACTGTATGATGTTAACATCACGTCAACTTGGCTAGAGAGTCATACTCGCTACCCAGTACTTTTTGACTAATAGATGCTATTTTGAAACTGGACTTTATATTCCTGAGAATCATTAATCATGAATTTATCACACTTGATAGAAATTAAATGTTTCTGTGAGAACTTGAATCCAAGTTGTTGTTCAAATTATCGATGAGATGACTATAAAGTTAAGAGTGAACTATCTCTGAACTTATGTCAAATGTATGAAACAGTAGAGATATCAAAAATTCTCATCGTGTAGGTTAGAATAACACAAACGAAACAATATTGTTCCCAATTAGATCCTCATCAGGGTTTACTTTAAAATACTGTTACGCAGGCGAAAGAAGATAGCGATTGACTGTTGATTACAGACATACTAGTATATAGTCACACATATCTGATACGCCATATACATTCTCCTACCCTTTGTATTCTCGTGATTACTGATTAACACATGTAATAGTCAAGCGAATTATGTGTTCTTGATTTGAGTTGAGTTGACGTGTGGTAGAATAGTTCCTGGCTAGGTATCTCATATAGAGTGAGTCAATCGTATAGACACTAAAACCATCGATTGTTTGACCTAGGCAACCAGCATCTCATTATTAATCAAGAAGAATCAAATGCCGTTTCGTATCAAATTGTCTCACAAACTTACTATAAACAAAATCAACATGTGTGAACAGGCTTTCAGTGTGATTTTATTATTAAACCTTACACGGTCTCTGATATTGTTGATTTTGACTATTCCTCTGAACCAGTTTGCCATGCAAAACATTGAAATTACTTGAATTTCAGTTGCTGAAATTGTTTAAAATGTAATTTTTATATTTATTGCTAAATAAACAGAGGGTGTGAAGAAATTGATACGATTTTTTTAACCTTATCCAGCTAAGGAAAAGCCAGTGATATTATAGATTTCTTCTGAACACTGACTGGGGTTTCACGTTCGAATATATATGGCTTTTGATAAATATAAGAAACAGTCTTACCCCATTGGGAAACAGTGAAGGTATATGGTAGATCAATCAAAATGATTTAGTGTTATCTAACACATGACCACTGTCAACTAAGAGTGACAAAATAGAATTATTCCGATTCTTTCCAAACCTCTCAGGGAGATGTTCACTGATTTCTTAGTTGAGTTACCATGTAACTTTCTCTGTGGGAGCAATTGAATTTGTAGATTCGAATCAGAGAGGTGACATGAGGTTATTTATTCCTTGTTTCAGTACACATTACTGATGGACTAAAAAATGACAAAGCTTCACTGTGTAAAGTTTTTTTAACTCCCTTTGTGGTGTGTGCTATTGATGTCGACAGATATAAGTAGTATGTATTATCAACCGAAAGTGAAATGCCTATCGACAGGTTAAGAAGACCAAAGAAAATAGAACGACAACAGAGTAATTGGTGTAGAAACGAAGGAGAAACCAAGTCTGAGACAATTTATTGACATTTTGCATTTGAAGTATTTACTGTATGGTTCTCAGATTTTACTAAGAGATTTTGTAATTTTGTGTCAAAATACATTTGGTTGTAATCACAATTGATTGATCACTGGGTGGTGATCAATCTCATGCTTGTCTAGTCCTTATTAGTGCAGATCGAATGCTATCGATCATGTTGCAATGTGGCCACCAGTCTAGGTGACTCGACACTGCGGGCACTATGTATTGAGATTAGATGGTGGTTAGAGGTAGTTGACTACCTCCAATTACCATCTAACATTTGGTTGTCCCTACTGGTGTTCTCTTTCATTACACCTTCACTAATGTAACATATAGAATATCAATAGGTACATCCCCTCAAATTGTAATTTAGGAAGATGGGTTTTTTTCGAGGGGCTGATGCATCAAACGTCTTCTGCACCATTTATGTCTCCTTTAAAAATATTTGCGGGTAACCCATTTCGGTAAGCACTGTTTCAGTAAACTCCAATTTTTCTATGGCGTCGTCTGAGGAGATTGTTTTTGTTCGGCTCGCAAGATATCTAACTAGATTTCTTTTGTAATGAATGGGTGTAAAGCTAAAGTGTTTTTACTTAAGCATAAAGGGGCTTTTTATATACACAATTTTTCTTAACGAGCCGTCAATAATTGTGTAGATAAACATTATTGTACAAAAGAGTACACCTTAGTGAAGATCCAATTGTAAAGCATTTACAAAATTTTCAGTAAAAAGTGATCTGGTCTCCTTAAAAATAAAAAAAACCTTCTGCTAGCGCTACACAGAACCCAAAGTATTTCAAGGGTGAATTCATGGTCATTTACCAACTCTTTAAGCACATATGAAACAGAAAGATTCAGAAGTAATTCATGATATCTTAACTCATCGTTGACAGTACTATACATGATATATTGGTATAAACGGAACTTTGTGCATTAAGAAAAGTATAAAGCGCAGAGGATTCATCTAACTTAATCTATGACGATGCATACGTTCGCTTACAATCACGAAGAGAACTGCTGATATGTGTAGGTATATATGAAGCCGAAATAAAAAACTCACTGATGATTACTCTCAAACATTTAATAATGAGTACACTTTATCATGATGGCACATAACTTAGTCGAGTAACTATATTATATTGAATGATTGGTTTAACAAACACTGGAAAATACAAAATATTAATTTTAGTCAGTAATAAACAAAAAAGAAACGAACACATCAATCAAATGATGAACATTTTACTATTTCTTGCTTTTAAAGAAAAGGGAATAGGAAAACCAGGATTCAATGCAGTTTGTTGACTAACTTGTGTCATTAAATATTGAGAAACCAGTGCATCGATTATAAGGTTGCGAAAATCTGATGGGACTCATGAGACGTTTACATTTGTTAGCAAAACTTGAATTCTCAATAATGATATTTCAGTTAGGAACTTTACGGGTGATCAGAAGAATAGTAACTTAAAGTTTCTCTGAAAAACAAATACTTTCATTTTGATCTTACCTCGCGATTTCTTTTTTGTAGGCGTGTGAAGGTATTACAGGGTGGACAGCAGTTGCTGAGATTATGAGATCTTCAGGATTAACACGTGTATTTGTTGTTGAAACAAATTGATTTCGCAAATTCGACCGAGGAGGAATCGGTGGTGGGAGTGGGGCACCTTTTTTGTTACCCAGTTCTAATTTGCATCCTCCAGTAGGACTAGTATTTGAGTCTGAAGATAATAAAGACTCATCGGTATCTTTTGTTTTAGGGCTTTGAGTGATCGGGGTCACTTGATGGTGGCAAACTCTACCTGGCTGCAGGAAACACTTATCTTCTACGGGACAGTAAACAAAACATAAAATACAATGAGCTGTTTAAAATCCAATATACAAAATGTGATATATATATATAGACTTTATCAATACCTTGGTGATTTTAGACAATTATCAACGCAGAAAAAAGAATCCACCACTCCCTATAATTTTCGTACATTCATCTAAGTACTATCACTACTCAGGGTAAAGCGAAAGTTTCATAAAAGACTAATGATAGTAATAACAGTATATTTCTAACATAACAGATACATGACAATTTCACGGGGATTGTCGACAATATATAACACTGGTTTGTAGAGAGCCCCCAAACGTCGTGGTGCTTCAGAGGATGGAAAAAGTCTGCTCTCTCGAAATATTCTCACATGACTACGCGAATAAAGCGAATGTCAGGGAAGTCCTACTACTGCCTTCTTATGGCGTTGTTATTTACGAAAATGAGAGGACGAAAAGCGAATGTCCGGTGCTTTAAGCGGACTGGTGGCTATGGAAAATCCCCTGAGAAAAGTTGAAAAACCTCGATTCCAAACCGGTGGTGCATATGGGCTCCAAGACCTTGAGTGGCCAAGTGGCGTATGAATCTAATGTTGGTCACTGGCTACCATAGGTTTGCATCTCCTAACATTGCTCCAATGCCTCATGGATTTAACCTCTAGGTCAAAGGCTCGGGGAGTGGCCCCCCAAGAAAATCACCTGATTTGGTTTGGGTACCCGGGCAGTATCTTAAATCTCATACGAACTAAATGATCAGTACAGCTGGAAAAATTATGCTCACTTCAACACGCATTCAGAGAAATCCCACTCTCAATCATTTAGTAACACTTGTTCCTATTTTTTTATTCCCCGTCACTTTTCCTAGCCCACATACAATTTAAATGATGACCACGATCAGAAAATCTATTCACGCCTTAATTCTCATTCTCGCGACTAATACTCACAACCAGTTTTTAGTGCCCGATTTCATTTCACGTTGTCTCACTTGTCTATTCCTTTATTCCTATTTTATATGTTCCTTTATTCAACCCCTACAGCACCCCAACTATGGTGAAACCCTATCCTATCTAGACGATGATGACATAGTTCTGTTTGGTGAGGACGCTGATAAAATGCAGAGTCTCCTGGTAGCACTAAGCAACAATGCCAGAATGTTTGGAATGGGCTTCTCTCCCTCGAAATGCAAGTTGTTGCTTCGGGACTAGTCATCGCCAACACCTGAACTAAGGATAGGAAGTGAAATAGTCGAACGCATTGACAACTTCACTTATCTTGGAAGTCTGATCAGCAATGATGTGCTAGTGTCTGACGAAATCTCAGCACGGATTCGAAAAGCTCGTTCGGCTTTTGCCAAATTACGTCACCTATCACGAAGACGAGATATCTGTCTGTGAATAAAAGGACGAGTATACTGCGCGGCAGTCCGTTCTGTTTTAATTTACGGCTGCGAAACATAGCCATTAAGAGTAGAAGATACTCGTAAGCTACTAGTATTTGAACGCAGATGCCTTAGAAATATTGCTCGCATCTGCTGGGATCACCGGGTAAGTAATAGTGAGGTTAGACGCAGGGTATTAGAAAATGATGGCAAATCAGTCGATGAGGTTGTGAATCTTCATCGACTGAGATAGTTGAGCTATGTGTTACGTATGCCTGAACACCGTTTACCACGACGAGCAATGCTGACCAATGTTGGAAATGGTTGGAAGAATGTTAGGGGCGACCGAACCAAAACGTGGCATCAGTGCTTGAAGTCACTAACTTCTAGTCTGAGCCATGTTGGTAGATTCAGACTACTTGGTTGGGGTCCGCGTGACTATCGTAACCAATGGTTGGAGACTCTAGGTGACATGGCTCAGAATCGGTCACAATGGCGTCAGTGTATACACTCTCTTTCATCCCTTAAACTATGAGATTAAAATCGCTTCATATCTTTCTTTTTACCAACTAATTATTTCTTCCTGTTCTATGTCCTTATATGGAATCTTTCTCTTATACATTACCACCACTGAATTAACTACTTCTATGAATTCGGTGTCCATCTTGTTGTGCTAATGAGGTATGGCAACTAGGACCGATGCATATATGTGCCTGGTCCTACGTTGCAGCTGACTGACTGACTGAGAAAGTCTAGACATAGATGTCTGTTATCTATTCGTCAACCGTCACCAATACTCTAGTGAAGTACTACGAATTCGCACTCAATCTGTCGCTTCGAAAACTGGTTTCACACACGATTATTCAGGGACCTTGTGGAAACTTCGTTTGGTTTTGCCAGTGTTGGTGTCGCACTAAGCAGTAGAACTGACGCAGAACTAGTCGATTGTGCTGTTAGATTGGAAAGCTCCATAGAAGTGCGAAGAAATCAGCGTGAAAAACGATATTCTTTCGTCATATCCACCTACGCTCCGACAGATTGCAGCCCGGATGCAATCAAGGATGAGTTTTGCTACCAGTTGACTGTTTTCCTACAAAAAGTACGTTCGACAAATATTGTACTTCACTGACATAGTGTTGGGTAGACCGCTCGTGGCACTTCCTCAAGTTTTCTTGTTTCAATTTCTTACCTCCTATTCTCTGACTAGCTCTAGTTTTAACATAAAGGGAATGTAAAATAGTAAAGGCACGGTAATTCGTGGAAAGAACTAACATGCTTTTGTCAAATAAGTTGATCGAACAGTCATTCTTACAGAGGTTGGTTCTGGGAGGAAGCTAATATAACAAATTAAGTTGGGTGGTTAACAATTGGCCGAAAACATCTTATTAATGTCAAGACTTTAAGGCTGAGGTATTTGTTTACTTTCACGTTTTGCATAAGCATTATATTTCCTATTATCCTACATTGCATGTTGAAAGCTTTGTATATTTGAAAGGACAACCTCGCACTCCAACTCTTCTATTCCACGCTTATCAATTTGGCGTACTCCTAACGGAAAACCAAGAGTAACCTCTAGCATTAAACTACCAACAGCTAAATGTTCCTTTAAAAACGTACGTTCGACGGATATTGTAGTACTAACCGGAAACTTGAAATGATGTGTCGGGCTTCTAAACACATAAAAAAGTCGTTTAGATGACCGAAGGAGATTTGTTGGTCGCAGGTCAGATAACAGTGACCATCTACTACAACTTTGCGCAGACTACAATATGCTTCTGGTTAGCATTAACTATCAGTACATTCATCGCCGATGTGACACAAGCGAAGACTGTCGCGTAATGGAATTGAGCAAAGCTTATGTAAGAACCGAGAAGCCTGGTGGTCGGAACGTGCCAATGAGTCGGGAGCAGCAGCTGCATCTAATAACTGCCGGAAGCTCTTTCAACTCATGCGAGTCACTGGCAGCACGAAGTCTGGTGTGAGTGAAACAATCTGTGAAGATGATGGGATGCCAGTCAATAACATTTACTGACGGCTCAGACGAGGGGCAGAGTTTTTCGAGGAGCAGGTCAACTGATCTGCTGAACCGGTAGCATCGATCAGACTGTTCTGCCTTCCATGGCCGGTGACGACCGATCCACCTAACGAGGTAAAAATCCGCAAGGAACTCCAATTCCTGAAGCGCTACGAATCACCAGACTCAGATAACTTACCTCCAGTCCTTTTTAAAGTCGTTGACGACCTTCTGGTTAAAAACTGACTTGAGTACGCGAATGATATTATCTTACTGTGCGGTGATACCCAAACCATGCAATCCGCACTTAATGAGTTGGTAATCAGGGTCCATAAGTACGGTATGTGCCTTGAACCTTCGAATTGCAAAGTACTTCTACAAGACTGGCAGGACCCTGAAGCTGCACTTACTCTGGATAGTGAGCAGATAGAAGTATTCGAGAAGTTCATGTGTCTATGTAACTACGTAATTGTTGTTAGTGGCGTGAGCGACGAGATCGACTCACGTATAGTGAAAGCCAGAGCGGCTTATGTCAATCTTGGTCATCTTTGGCGCCTTCGTAATCTTGATCTGGCTGCAAAAGGTCGGATCTGAAAAGCGTCAGTGAGAGCAGTTTTGCTTGATGCTTGTGAAACCTGACCTCTCCGAGTTGAGGATGTTAGAAGACTCTTTGTTTGGTCATCGTTGTCTCCGAGGAATTGCTAACATTCAGTGGCAACATCATGTTAGCAATGAAGAGGTTCGGTATCGTGTGTTCGGGCACAGAGATGATAATTCAATTGGTGTCACTATCTTGAAACATTGACTTCGGTGGCTTGGACGTGTCTTACGAGTGTCGTCCCAGCAAATTCCACATTGTGCATTACTTGACGAAACTGGGACTGGTTGGAGAAGGCGAAAAGATGTTCGGTGTATGACATGGCGTTGTAGTATGAAAGAATGCTGTACAGGGCTGACTTCTGTTGGTCCTTCACGACTTCCTGGTTGGGGTCCTGAAGATGGTACAGCACAGTAGCTAGAGACGTCATCAGACATGGCTCAGAATAGAAGCCAGCGGCGATCTTGCTGTAACTTTCTTTATAAAATATGAACATAACTTCTTTAACTGGAAGAATCCTTTCTGGTTGTATTTTCTCTAACTGAACAGTTCCTCCAATTATTGTTATACAACTTCCATGCACTAATTTCTGTTCATTGTTGTTCATCTTTTTCATTGTACGCACTTCACCTTCTATATCTCTTCACAACCTCATTGTTACTGTGTGGCGCCTATATACATGGTGTCCCCTTGTACCAATGTTTCTGTCCATATGAACAAAATGATTTGAAAAATACCTAACTGAATCTTAAGATTTACAAACCCACGGTTGTTGCACATATAGTGCATATAAGTTCCTTCAGATCAAAGGAACACTGAGTAACTTATTGGATAAGACCATGAAAATATTTAACTTGATACAAAATGATATTCCATAGTTGCACTTACCTGTGATGTAAAACTGTGACTCATTATATGCAGATGTGTCATGGTTACATGGAACACGCTCTCGTAAACCACAGTTTGGTGGATTTTGTGTTATTCCGATGTTTGAAGTTAGTGGTAATGCAGAACTTTGTGTAGATATATTCGGTGCAGGACCCGATTGCCACAATTCACTAAATGCACATGAATTACTATTAGGGAGACGAGGTCTTCGACTGACTAATGGACTTGCACTGGAAGGATTATTATTTGTGCTTACACATGCTGAGTTCGACGCGGATCTTGTTGAATAAACTAGAGGGTTATGTGACAAAGAGTTTGAATTAGTTGATCCAAGGGAAAAGTAAGGTACGGGAACTGAAACCAACGGACCATATATATTGCCTGGCGGAGAAATTTGGTGCATTTGAATATGATTTGGAGTTAGGTGTGAACCATATCGATGTAACACTTGACCTGGAGAAGGAAACAATGACTGAAACATGAAGCCTCCAGCATCTTGAGCACTGTGACTATGAGTAAGTTTGTGTGAGGATGAATTTCCGTGCATCCTGTCTTCAGTGGCAAAACCTTGAGGAACGACAGTGTCTGGGTTGTAAGAAACATGGTGTGCAGACAAAGCAAGTGTCTGTGCTGTTGGGATAGAACTACTTTGTGGAGGCTCAATAATCCCATATATACCTGAATGACAAACCGGTGATGAAGCAGCACAACCTGGTGAAGATGCATTTGATGAACAGTCAAAAAACTAAGGAAAGATAACATAAAAATTCACATTATTTTGTAGAACAATGAGGCCACTCGAGAAAGTAAACACAATTTCTATGGAAACACGTAATAAATAATTTTTTATATCCCAATCAGTAGAAAAATTGTATTTCTGATGATTCATGATTTAATGAAAGTCACTTCAAAGTAAGTAAATAACCGAAGTAATTATGTACAAGTTCCCAGGCGGCAATGAAAACTTATATACATAAATTGTGGTCATTATGGGATTGACTTCGGTTTAAATCACAACATTAACTTGTATTTTTATCAAAAGGAACTGCGCGGCAGTTCGTTCTGTTTTAATTTACGGCTGCGAAACATAGCCATTAAGAGTAGAAGATACTCGTAAGCTACTAGTATTTGAACGCAGATGCCTTAGAAATATTGCTCGCATCTGCTGGGATCACCGGGTAAGTAATAGTGAGGTTAGACGCAGGGTATTAGAAAATGATGGCAAATCAGTCGATGAGGTTGTGAATCTTCATCGACTGAGATAGTTGAGCTATGTGTTACGTATGCCTGAACACCGTTTACCACGACGAGCAATGCTGACCAATGTTGGAAATGGTTGGAAGAATGTTAGGGGCGACCGAACCAAAACGTGGCATCAGTGCTTGAAGTCACTAACTTCTAGTCTGAGCCATGTTGGTAGATTCAGACTACTTGGTTGGGGTCCGCGTGACTATCGTAACCAATGGTTGGAGACTCTAGGTGACATGGCTCAGAATCGGTCACAATGGCGTCAGTGTATACACTCTCTTTCATCCCTTAAACTATGAGATTAAAATCGCTTCATATCTTTCTTTTTACCAACTAATTATTTCTTCCTGTTCTATGTCCTTATATGGAATCTTTCTCTTATACATTACCACCACTGAATTAACTACTTCTATGAATTCGGTGTCCATCTTGTTGTGCTAATGAGGTATGGCAACTAGGACCGATGAATATATGTGCCTGGTGCTGACTGACTGACATTCTTGTCAAGAAATGAGAACTTTGGATTCAAAGAAACGAATCTTTTACAGTTATGGAATGAAAAACGTGTGATTGTTACAGTATCAATCAGAAGATCATAAATCATGCGGTCACCAAAGTACCAATTAATTTTAATATGATTTCCTGAGAGTAATGAATAAAATTCTGTATCTTATAAGAACATATACATTAGATCCAAAAGCTGTTTCAAACAAAATGCCTACACAGCATATCAAGTTTGAGAAGTTTTTATACAAATCATTTATCTGGACTGGAAAATTCACCAATAGAGCCGAAAAAATTGGATTTGAAAATTTTTCAGTTTCAAACGTCAAAACATTCCAAAAAACAGTGAGCTTTATCCATATATCAGGCAAACTAAACATGAAGGTCGACGCAACATCAAAAACATTGATAGGCTTGGAACAACTAGCTTCAGTGACAAATTAAGTCTACAAATGAACACACCTTTCACTAGGCATCAAAGATATCAACAAAAATCAAAAGCATCGGAAACTTTGTGACAAAAGAGAAAAATGTAGAAAACAAGTACAAGCATGACTTTAAGCTCTAGTTTTGTAATTTTCTTACCTCAAGAAAAGAGCTAATAAAATGTGGATTCCTATAAACTTTTCAACGACTGATATGATTCACGGGATGTCTATGCTATTTATGGCCCAATTCTTCGATAGGAATCACTCTATAACTGAGGGAGTGCAAAACTGAACTGTGAGGTGGAACAAAACCGCATCCACGAACTAAAACTGATAGGACTTCTCTTGCTGATAACTCTTTATTGTTTAAAATGGTACAAGGAATTTTAGCTGAGTGATTGTGATTGAAAGACTTGGTAGGAAACTTATTAAGTGTTGAATTTGTCGCTATCTTTATTTTGAAAAGAACATCACTAAATACAATTATTCAGTGATATAACCTCTTACCCCATTATTATCCAGAATAAAGATATGAGTACATAATTAACTAAAACATGTCACAAAGAGTATAGAAAATTTTTATGACTAAGCTGATTATATATTACTTTTACTTAGCCAGCTGCTTTTAAAATGGTGAGTATTATACACCATTGATAGCACATTTTCCATACAAAGAAACAATCGTCATAACTGCTATATATTTACTTAATTTACCTGTAAATTCCATTTGTACGATAGCTTTGTCAGGATAATAGTACTCTATAATTTCTAATTCACTTCGATTTTACTCATAAGTCGTGGTCAGCAAAAGTTATTTCTGTGCTACTACTGCCTGATCCGGAATTGGTATAGCTCTTCTGGTTGTTTTCAAAATGGACAATCAGTTTCAAAAGTCCAGAGGCACGGTAGTGTCCAGGATCAAACAGTCGTCAGGGTGGTTAAACCATCTTGCTTATTTTGATTTCACAACCCAACAAAACAACCGTTTCCACAGACTGACTATTTAACAAAATGGACTAAACAAACGATGTCTGTCGACAAAACAAGGCTTGCAACTACAAAAATCCTTTGTGACTTTGCAAATGGCAAGCTTAATGGTTGAATAAAGCAAAACGTTTGCTTTAGAAAAACCATGACAAATAAATAAACTAATTAGCGAGAAAAAAACTTTGAATAGCGCAAACGTATGTACTTCCAAAAGTTAGATCTTATATACTAAATAATCAACTGATAAATATTTTTAGCACATAAAATGTAGCTACTAGACTAACTATGAGGATTTAGTGAGTTGAATGAAACAAGCTAACGGCTTCAAGTCAATGGATGGTTTAGTAATTAGAACTAACATTGATAAATTTAGTGCCGATGAAATTCACTGAAACATCACAGTTTTAGTGAAGCATACAGACTGCTGTTAACTTCACCTCCCGGCTACACATATTTATTTATTTTATTGGACTCTGAGTCAATAACAGTGTCAATACATTGATAAGCATTGCAATTCACATTTCCAAGAGCGACAAAATCAACTTTGTAATCCCACTTAAGTAATACATAGATTTATAAGTCTGTCTGTGTCTGACGATTATCACTTTTGCTGGCTAAGTCTATTTACTATGAAATATGACAAAACAGGCAAACATAGAAATATATAGGCACTAGTCTTCTAGCGAAAGTGTAGGTTCCGGGTCGCTCTGTCTAAGAATCTCAAAGACCTCGTTATCTTGAAATGGAAAGTCAGGATTTCGTTTTTTTAATGTCAATTATATATGAACACACGAATCTGTTAGTTTTTAAGTATACAATGTGTACGATCTCAAGTAACCAAGGATGAACAAATTATACCGAATCTTGCACAAACCTGTGAACAGAATTTCAACTAGAAACGAAAGGTTATATTATTATAGTCTGTTTTATTGGTTACATTCGACGTCTAGTATCTAAAGTTTCCAATAACTGATTCTATAAGAACAAAAACTCGCGAACACTTATCTCCCATACGTAAAATGCCTTACGTTACTCTGTAGACCTTAAAAACCCATTGATAATAAGGATAAAATGTGAGGATAATTTAGAGTTGGCAAATTTTGAACCTGTTAGGTTAATTTAGTTGTGTCTGGCATCACATATAGACTTACCTCCAAGTGCATTTGTATAAACATTCTATATATCACTTCTGCTACATCAGCCAGACATGTAATAAACATAGTTTTCAGATAAGCAACCAGTAACTGCAAAGTTTCAACTGTCAGAAAAACGGAGATCTATCTCGGGTTACGAAGTCCGAACTCAAGTATCATTCAGATAGGATTACATGTAATCGATAGTTTAAAAGAACCCAGAGCATATTTGAAAGTTAATAACGCTCAACAAAATATGAGAATTTAGAGCACTAATATTTATAAAACATGAAATCATATTCTCGAGAACAAATGTACTTACCGCCCCACAAAATGATTTCTGACAAACAGTGAAGTTAGGATGATTAATTATAGGGAGTGGGTGATAGCTTGATGTCTGGTTTGATACTATATCCATTTGACCTGGCATAAGCGCTGTGCGCTTTTGCACAACATTCTGTATATCATCATGGAAATCACATGTATACAGCGAACCAGGACAAGTTGCAGAGGTCGGAAGTTGACCGCGATAGATAGTCGGTTTTATTTCATTCTGATGAGGCATCGCAGATGACTCTTATTCGTGCATAACCTTAACCGGGCATAACAGACGAACCATCCTAACAACGCGCGTTGACGGTGAAACCGAAAGCGCAAGGTTGATTGAAGATCTAATAGTGGTACAATTAAACTACATTATTTCACCATAGTGAGTTTTTGAATATTTGATTAACTTATGACCAAAAACTTCCGTTTTTTGAAAAATAGTATTTTGTACAAGTCTTAAGTTCGTCTACATATTGTAATATTTAATTGGACCAACATGACTGTAACTCTAGTCTCAATGGCTGTAGGAAGATTACATCAAACATTTTGTACTCGAATGTGCCCTCTGTATGAATTTCTGGAGAAAGCAACAGTAGACAAACAGCCTACCTCAGTAAACCTAAACAAGTCTTCTAGGACACTAAATGACGATATTCTAAAGCGTTGACTTGTTTTTAGGCTAAGAAAAAAGCCTTCTTGTAGGAATTAGCACATGTGTTAAAGAGACGTATATCCAAAGGACACATCACATCGTCATTTACTGAGGGATGAGCGGCACCGTCCACATAAATACAGATCGGCCTTTGAAGTTGAATCGTCCAGACAACTTACAAACTTTAAATTCCCTCGGTCAACATCTACAGTGTAATGTCCTCGAGCTTACATTAGAGGACAGAGCGAAATCACTTGAAGCGAGATTCGTAAACGATCTTAACTGCCCTTACGTACATCTCTTTGCCTCAGAAGATAGTTAGTCATGCCATAGCTCTCCCGTTCCATCCCTCCAATCAATGTATATGAGCAATAGGTCTGTAGTTGCCTTAAAAACCTTTATGGGCCAGGTAGTAGCGTGTTGTAACAATGCCGGTTTTAGAAAATTATGTGACGACGACCGGAATATACTATCGGGGAAATTTAGAAACTCGTTATTCACTGATGACCCTGTTTCTGAGATTGTAAAACTTGTTGGTTGGGACCGCCTTACCCAATATCCTGCACCAGCAGCAAGGTTCGCCCCACATTTGCAACTTATTGAAGTACTACTGGACTCTGCAACACTTAGGCTATGGCTGTTCTTCAGCTGTTTGTTATTCACTTGTCCTTAATATGCTTATTTGCACTAGGTTTATATTGATGTCATTTTATGCAAGATTGATTTAACATTTCTTGACTTTTTGTGATATAATGGCGGCGAGTTTATTGTCCATTGATTTTCTAGTCCCATTATCTCAAATAATAATTCACTGTTTTGAAGGTTAAGAATTAACTTTCAATGCTATGTATCATATCACTGGTACGTTTAGTGCTTATTCTGGTATTTATGTCATAAATATGCTTCTTATGGGTTTCTACTTTCTTCAAAAATGATGACAACTGTATTAGGCAGTTGTATGAAGCTCAATCATGTTCGTAACTATCCTTAAATTGCAAACTGGAAAATATTTATGCAATGTATCTCTCCCTTAAACACACTTCACTGATCACAAGAGACAGTGGTTGATACTATACATAACAACAATGTTATTTAAAAGTTGGAGTGGTGGATTATCTCGGGGAATTAAATTGCTCTCGATGTGAAATTGTATTTCCGTGTGCCCCTGTCTACTTTACACTTAGATAAATTGAAAGCTCAGCTGCCATCATCTAATGAAGGGCCCGCTGTCAGAAAAATAAAAATTATCAACTTTAGAGGAGCAGCATTTCAAAAATTTTGCGACCTAAGTCATGTCGTCCCATATATCCATATAGAACATGAAAACGGAAAATATGTTTTGACAGATACTTGATGGCATCGGATTTCTAATTAAAGGAGAGTTAGCGAAAAACGGTAACGGAACTCGAGATTTTATTTATTTTATTACATAAGTGGCCGTCGCAAAGAGAGCGAAGTTCTCATTAAATGTATATACAAAACGAGAGGGAATCGTCTGCAGCGGATGACATCTTCATCGACACGAAGGTATGCCTCTCCAAGCATCCTGTATACAACGAATTAGGCAAACGTTTGGTTGTGGATGTCGGTTCTTTGCCCACGTTCGTACGATAAATGGACGGTTCACCGCAACCAGATGTTCGATGACTAATGACCACGACTCACTGCGCTTCATTCATGAGTAGAGCCCATATTTTCACCGCCTCACGGAAGATCAAACAAAGTGCATTTGCTTTTTACTGCTGTCAGGAACTGTAGCCTTTATAGTAAGTGATTTCCTTTACAAAACATATGAAAGGCTAAGCAATGCATAGTGTCTGCATTATAAGCTGCGGTGTGCTTACACAATCAGAACCCCCTGAATTATTTTATAGTTTTCACAATGCTGACTTAACACATAGTCTCGAATCTTCGCAGCGCATACTGTTCGTTTGGTAGGCTCAACACAGACACAGTGACGAAGACGGTTGGCTGCAAATCTATTTATTGTGTAAATGGAATCAGAAGGCCATATTTTACCGCTTTACGTAAATTATAGGAATCGGCACCACCTTTGAACGTAATAATGAAGAACTGCAGTTCTACGACACGGGAACAACTTTCTACCAGTTAAAGTCACTGGATGCGTCAATAAAGGCTATATCAGTAGCCTATGAGATTATAGATGGAGAGACACATAATCTCATCAAAAGGTGTTTAGCCACCTTCCTTGATGGCATTTTGTTTGATATATTGGTTGAAAGCTTCATTTGTGACAACGAAAGTAAAATTAGAAATGCTTCAGTACAAAATCTCCAGGTGCCCACCATATTTTGTTTAGGGTTCATACTATATGGGACTTTACGCGACGATTGGGGATAACATTATTTAATCATTATATTTTCAGAATGTGTAGTTGGGCGTCGAGTCTTGGTTGACTACGATCGACGCTACAGTAAGACTATGTGCCAGTTAACCGATAAGATCCCCCGTAGACCGAATATCAGAAGGCAGTTAATGGCTGTAGTCGGGATGTATTTATTGAAAGAATACCGAGATCGTGCCAAAGGAGTACAAGTGTGGTTACTTAGCTTAACCGAATTCGTGCAATGTCACAATCAACGGAAGGATGTATGTATTCTGGTACTGTCAAACAAACAAGTACGGTAAAACAACCCCTGGTACAATCTGTTATAATACTAATTGTTCCTTTTACACCAATCGCGTTCTTTCGATAAAAGTAGGTCACTACAAATGTGTCAACCAGTATGTTTAAACTGTTCCTGAAAATAATGTTAATGAGAGACATTAAACGATAAGAAGTTTGTTTAGTCCGTTAATATCATTTTTAGATTTCACTTTTACATCAATGCTACTAAAGATAAAAATCCTACCTTCCGTTATCTTGAGAACAACTTGCTGAAGAAGAAATAAAAGTGGACTTTAGTGTTCAGACCACATTCTTGGTTACCTCTGCAAAACCTAACAAACTTCGTAAAAGCCGCGAACCGGGTTGTGGGTATGTGTAGGTTGAATCGAAAGTGTCCGGTTTTATGACATGCGTCCCACATTTTCATGGAAGTGACTACAGGTGCCACGAATCGGTTGAGGATATTGATCGTCTCCAACACTTAGTGGTGCACTCCTCGCTATTGGTGCAGGATATTGATTAGTGTGTGGGGCGGTTCCAATCAACAGTTTTTTACAATCTCAGAAACGGTATCATCATTGAGTAACGAGTTTCCGAATTTCCATGATAGTATATTCTGGTTATAATTCCGTATATATATTTAATAAAAACTTCGCTCTCTTTGCGATGGCTATGTTATAAAATAAAGAAAAGCTCGCATTGCTTTTGCGTTCATGGAAATAGGACAGTATGCCATTGACGGAATTTATGCGTTATTACTAATTGAAATAACGAATACTTACGTATTAGAATTGATGAGAGTACATATTAACCTTTTTTATCGATATTTTGAGTAGAATCAGTGCCAACTACTATTGGATATTTGTGGCATAATTCTATCTGTTCATATGTACTGGAGAAAATCCTAATGATATATCCCCTTGAGAGTACTCTCTCCGTTCACCGTACAATCGTAAGATATAAAATACTTGCATCTACATACTGCAACCTGTTATATACTTATATACACTCACAGGTGGAGAGTTGAGGATTTATAGTCTTTACATCAGCAGCACTGATCTGCTTACCAACCCGATCCTTAATAACTTTCATCACTTCATTTATTGGCGATTGCTGCATTGACGGCTTCAAATTTTCTTTATATTTTGAGGACAATTTTTCGTAGAAAAATTCTATTTAAATATGAGAAGATAAAATATTCGTGTAACCCGAGGGACTCGCGACAAACTCATAGCGATTGAAGTACGGAATGACCGCCTCATGACAGGCTGTTCAAGATGAGTGAAACGAAACGGCGGGCGGCTTTGAGAGACCTTACCACTTTTGCCGTCCTCAGGTTTGCGACCAGTTATTTCTACGTATATCTAATTCGGATAGATACGACACTTTGTAAAAGTGTTAGTAAGACGGAGCACGGTTTATGTAATTGATGGTCACTGAAATCAGTGCTGAAGATAGCATAGGTATTCAGTGTTTGACAACACTTTAACCATTAACACCTTCTAATATGACTCGTACCCACCAAGAGAAATCAAAAGACAGAATCGAGGAGATCAGAAGTTGTATTTGACGATTGCCAATATATCGGAATTGTCTGATCTAATCTGGCTAGCGATTGCGGTAGATGTTGAGCACGGCGTTCCCACACGTGATCTGGTGCGGATGCCTGACCGAGCGCCTTCAGCTAGGTGAGCCCATTAAAACAAATGTGGTCAGCATCCAATGTCGAAAACTTACAGAGCTATTTATTTTGGGGATTTATTTACCGCTACAGATCACTCCTCCCTCAGTGGAGTAGTAGTGACCCTAAGACGCGGCCAGCCAGAAGTTTAAACCCAATGAGTTTGTCGTTGGCAAACAATCTCCTGATAACTTGCTAGGTTTTGCAGAGTCTGGTCGTCTTTCCTTACTATAAGGGATCATGAAATACAATATAGTAAAAAATAATGTACAATGA